GCAGCAGCGCGCGGTCGCCGTCCTCGCCGCCGCGGACCCGGTAGGACACGGGCGTGGACTTCTTGCTGCGCTTCACTAGGAAGCCGCGGGGCATGTTGGCGCGGCGCGCGGGCAAGGCACTGGTTCGATGCAACTGCCGCGCTGGGCCCCGGCGGCCTCAGTGCCCCCAGCCCATAGTCCGGGCGAGGTGGCTGCGGGACTCGCGCGGCGCCGGTGGCGGCTCGGCTTGCTCTGCGCCCCGCACGGCGCCCCTGTCCCCCGGCCCTGGAGCCGCTCCCTTTTAACGGGGGGAGGGGGCCATTGTTCTCGCCTCCCGCTTCCCCGGGAGCCAATCAGCGCGTCCGCTGTTCCTCCGCCTGGTGGGGTGGGAGGGCGGAGGGGCGGCAAAAAGGGGGCCAGGGCTCGGGGTCGTCGGGTAGGTGCGGCAGATGTACCTGAGGGCGCGGGTCCCCCAAGCGCGCCCCTCCGCCGCCCCACCCGGCGCCGCCGCCCCGCCCGGCTCAGGCACACGCCCGACCCCGCCTCCCTTCACGGTCTGCTGCGCCTCTATGGGGAGGCGCACGTGCCTGGGCTTTGTGTCGCTCCTCCGGGGGGCGCGGAGCAGCCAAATGGGCCCGTCCATCAGCACGACAATGCACGCCCCCCTCCCGCGCGGGGATTACCCGCGGGTCGCGAGCAAAATAGCAACAAAGAAGAAGAATGGCCCCAAATATGTCAGGAGGGTTCAATCCGCGAGCCGGAGCCGAGGGGGAAGTTGTGCTGGCTGATTGGGTGCGCGCGGCGGTGGGGAGCAGCAGGCGCGGGGGAGAGCGGAGTGCTGCCGCTAGGTCGCTGGAGGCCCAGGAACTTCTCCCGGTGTATGGGAAATGATCAGAAATTGAAAATTGCTGCCACAGCTGGGCGGCCAAGAGGCCCTGCCCGAGACGGGTGGGTTGCGGGACTCAGGTGCCGAGAGAAAACGGGACCTTGAAGTTCCAAGTTGGAGTAGAGGATGTGGCCTTCTGATTGCAGCCAAAGGCGATGTTCGTTGCCTCGGCTGTGGCGCGCCCGCGGGCTTCAGGAGTTCGGGAGAGAGTTGACACCACACTTCTTCAACCGCCAGCAGAAACGGCACTGGGGGTCAGACTGGGCTGGGTTCCACAAGGAATTTAAATTTCTTAACTTTTTTTTTTTTTTTTAAAGTTCCCCAAAGGTCGGGATTAGCATCCTGACAGGGTCCGGCCAAGGTGTCCCGGAGCCCCGCGCCGCCCGGGGCTGGGTTGATTCGGATGGAATCGGCCAGTACCCGAAACACACAGTCAGCCCTGCGCGCCCCAGTGAAGTTGGTTTCCGCTCTCCCTGCGCCGCCTCATGCATTTTCATTCGGAGCGGGCATTTTGTCTGCCGGTTGACATCAGATGCTAAATCAAGGGCTCCAATCAAGGCGCTGCGGAATAAAGGGGCCGCCAGTCTGGGTGCAGCCCCCCCGACCCCCCCGGAGCCGTGCCCCCTTCACCTTTGTGAAGGAAATTAACCTCCCGCTATTGAGCCCCGGCCGCGGCCAATCTGGACGCAAAAGAGACGCGTGCTGCCGGCTGGGGGGAGGGGGGGCAATCTGTCCTCGGAGGCAGGCTGCGGCCTCCGAGAAGACAAACCGCTGCTCCCCCCACACCCCCGATGCCACCAGGAAAAGACAACAGCGAAGGTCCACACCCACCACACTCCGCGGCCGCGGGATTTGGACCCAGACCCGGCCGTTTGCCTCCATTCTCCCAAGGAAACACAAAAGGCAGAATCTCCAGGGGGCGGGGGCGGAACCCCAAGAGTACCCATCGCTGACGGGCCATCACGGAGGGGAAAATAGCAATGCTAGGTGTTGTGAGGAAAATGCCACTTTATCGAAATAGAAGGAAACGGACATTTTCCTGCAAAACTCTGGACACCCAGATAGATTTTGCTGAGTTTTGTTTATGCATAATTTTACTGAAGGTATTTAATTGTTTTGGATTTTCCCTCTGAAAATACCCTGGCGTGGAAATTAAGCATTTTTTTTTAGAGTCCACAAGAGTAATAAGTTGTCATGGGGACAGAGGTTAGGGTTAGTTAATCAAGGGGTTAATCAAACTGGTTAATCAAGGGAAAAATATTCGCTGATTTGATGTGTGTGATATTTTTAAAGTCACAGATGGAAAAGAAAAAAATACAAGTAATGGCATATATTTTGAAAGCTCTCACCCCCGTTTCAAAAATGCTAGATGTAGTGATGGAAGTCCTGAGAAAAGTTAGAAATTCTAAAATGAGTTTATCTAAAATTTATAGATGTGTTTCATTTTAAAAGTCACTGGTGTTGTTGCCTTGCTCTTTTGAGCACTGATTAATACTGCTGATGAAATTAGAAGAGGGAAAGGGATTCCGGGACAGCTTTGGCCAATTTTATTTTCTAATCACGAATCCCATCTGGATTGTGGACTAATAGTGCAGGGCTCAGCCTGCCACCCCCCAACTGACTGCGGGGTGTTTGGTCTTGTATGTGTAAGGCTCCTTTCATTCAACAGATAACAGGGAGAGTTAGTCACCTTGTGAATAAAAATAACAACAGCCATAATTGTAAAGGGTGGGGGACAAAAAACAAAACCAATCCCCTGTCTGCATGCAGTGAATTCAAACAGGGCTCTGAATTAAGCCGAGAATCTATTGAACACTATTGAGATTCTGAGATTCAATGGGTCCGTTTCTTTTTCTTTACTTGTGGTTTCTAGTTTTGTCAGACGCTTAAAAGACTGCGCTTAAAACAAAAACAAAAACAAAAAAGGAAATTTGAAAGGTACAAGTATTCGAAACTTATTTCATAACCTAGTACGGGGGGGACAGTTGGGCTGTTCCTTCACGCACACACAACCAGCAACCTCTTAGTGTAGGTACAACCTAGTACCCAGTTACAGTTAACGCCTCCTGCATTATTATTTGCATGTGCTGGGATGGAGATACTTGTATTCGTCTGGGAAGAGCAAAATGTTGCTAGGTGGCCGACTTTTGCCAACAGCGATTCCGAGTAGGTGCCTCACAGAGTTGAGCTGGACAAACGTTGAGCGCTGATCCCCACCCCCTCTTTCCACCCACCACCCAGGGCCTTTAGGAGAATAGGCCAGTTTAGGGATCCAAGGCAGGACCCACGCCCCCCCCCCCACCATGTGTCTTTCCCATGCCCCAGAGAGTCCTCCTTTTCCTGAGGGGCCCTGACAGCGCTTTGGAAAAACCAGACAGCCTCTAGCTTCCTGTGCTTGCAGTCCCTTCTCTGATGGGGGTCTTCGTTTGACCACCGCATTGCTGGAGGCCCAAGGTGCTAGACGGTCTCAATTCTGTTCCCAGGTTGTGTTCCCAAGAGCGAGCCAGGGTTCATTGTGACACACTTTCCCTTCTTACACACACACTCAAGAATCAAACTCCAGGGAGTTTCTAGAAAGCGAGAAACGTGGACACAATCGTTCAAGTGGGGAATTTCGGCCTAGGAATTGCCCGGTGGCGTGCTGACGTGTTTGGGCAAACCCAGCTCTCAGGAGAAGGCCATCGATCTCACCCCCGACTGGCGGTGCTTTTGGAGACGTCCAAGAAAGAGAGGAGGGAGATATCAGCGTCGCCCCTAGGCCCCAGCTCCCCATCCCCACTCTACTGCGGGCCCCTTTTCTGGGTTCACAGAAATCCCACCCCAGGAGCTCTCTGCCACTGGCCACAACCTGGCCTGAACCGTGCGTCACCATCTCAGCGCACGCCGTCAGGTCCGCGAAGGGCCGGCGCCCCAGGGCTCGACGCGCGCGGGACCCGGGCGCCGGCGGCTTTGTATTTGCAGGAATGAGGGGTTGTTGTGTCAGTCCCAGGGGCACGCGAGAGACACGCGCAGCCCGCCCGCCGGCCGCCCCGCCGGCCCGGTCCGGCCTCCAGGCACCTTCCGGGCCCCCCGCCCGCGGGCCGTTGCCTTTGTTCCACACATTAGCATAAAGCTGCCAAGGATCTCCCGTTTAAATAATTCCACACAAAAGGAGAGTGCATGAAAGAGAGCGAACAAGGGAGAATCCGCGAGGCTGCGCCGTCCGCCGGGCGCGGGGAGGGACAGCGCTCAAGTATTTCCCTCCCCTCGAGTTTCAAGTGCCCCCGGCAATCTGCTGCGTGCCCATTATTCGGCCGGGGCCGACGGGGTGACTGGCCGCCTCTTTTATCCTCCGGAGTGTGTCGTCGGGGCCACTGCACGCTCCTTGAAGTGCCCTCAGGGCTGTTTGTTTTTGCCTTGGGTGGTACTGCCCCCAACCAGGAGGGAGGTGGGGGCAGGAAGGTCCCTGAGGGCGACTGGAGGGTGGTTTTGACCGGGGTGGTGCTGAACGGAAAGAGAAGACATTGAACGTGGAGTGCACAGGGGAACTGTTTCCACCTGTGAAGTGGCGACTCCTATTCGCTTCGGTGTCAGAGAAGGCCCAAACCCCAGAAAAGCCACCGCGCCTCCGCTCCTCGCGTCTCTCCCGCCCCAGGGTGGACGGAACACTCCTCCTGGACCCCAAAGAGGCGCCTTTACCACCTTGGCCTGGTTCTCCCTTGACCTGTGTTCCCCCTTTCTCTCATTCCTGCTTTTGGGTTTGGGGTGTCTGTGCTCTTACCCTCTCCATCTCTCTCTTCTGGCCCCAATATCGCATCCCCCTTTCCGCCCTTCTTTTCAGCATCCTCAGTTTCCCCCTTTCTCCTTTCCCATCTCTTCCTCACAATTACTCTCCTCTCCAGCCACCTGTCTCTCCTTCAGTCTCTTCCCATCTTTCACTTACCCTCCCCCCCCTTTCTTCACTATTCTCCTTCACAACCTCTGACTCATTCCCTCAGTCCCTCTTCTTTCTGCTAATCTTCCAGCTTCTACCCCCAACCGTCCTCTCTCCTCTTCCCCCCCAACCCTTTCTCCTCTCTTGGACCCCCTCTCCCCGTCTCCTCCCCTCTCTCCCACTCTGCCCTTCCTTCTCTCCCCCTCCCTCCCTCTCCCCCCACTTTTCTCTCGCTTTGATTCTCCCCCCACTCTTCTCTCCCTCCTCCTTGCAGGCCTACGTGTGTTATTTTATTTGTCTAGAGAGAGCCTATTTGTTCAGTGATGTGTGGCCTCCTGGCCGCCTGCTTTAATGGGGGACTCGGAGGCTTGGTTTCTGTGAGCATTAGCATACAGCTGCCGGCTCCGTGCCCGTTTCCCGGCGCTCACTTTATCCCAGCCTTATCATCACCTCTTCTCTCAACCAGAAAACAATCAACAGCTCCTCACACACGGCGACTTTCGAGCCCCTCTCCCTGCTTCTTGGCTCACACTTGCTCACCCGGGTGCGATTTCTCTCTCTCTCTCTCTCTCTCTCTCTCTCTCTCTCTCTCTCTCTCTCTCTCCATTCTCTAAGAGTATATATATTGATTGACTGACTTTACATTTTATTTTCCACACGCTTTTCCCTTTCCTCTCTCACCTCATCTTTTATTTTTTGCCTTCCTGTGATACTCGAGTGTAACAGAACCATAAGGAGCCATTTTTTGGAAAGGAGGTAGATACACTCTCCATTACAAACCAACATATGTCAGGAGATCATTAGAGGCATCTGTGAGGCATGGTGGTTGCCTGTGATTTTGGGTGGGGGGACTTGGGAAAATTAACTTTGGTATTTTCTTGTCAAGATTCTTTGTTCAAAAGTACAGAATTCTAGGATCAGGCTTAGAGCCAAAGATGTCCCCAGCTCTAGAGCAAATGCTGAAATACATGGGAATTTCACACTGTCATCTTACAAAATCGATCCCTGTGCATACCGAGAGAAGTCCAAATATCAGTCTCTTTGAAGCCCTTTCCTTTGCCAGCCTCCATCATTGGTGAAGACCTTAGAATAGCCAATTTCAAGCTATGATCAATGATTCATCTTATTTTTAGCAATGTTGTGCCTCAATGATAAAGAGCCTATGTCTGCACACATGTGCTAAGAGTCCTGCCTGTATAGAAGAAATTGTTCATTTTCTAATACTGGTGATTAGAATAACCTCATCTAATACACTTTGCAAACTAAAATTTATTCTAGATAGTTTCAAATCTACCATGATACTGATGGAGATCCAAGGCTATTTGTAAAAATGGAACAAAACATCATTGTATTTATGATGAATACATGATTCAACAGTAAGCTTTCCATTGTTGTTTGGGGTCACTTTTCCGTGACTAGAAGCTTTTAAATGGTAATACTTAGTCACAGATATCATAAATGTAAGTCCTTTCACGTTGTTCTGGTAGTCTTCACCTCCAGGTGCTAGGGCTTGTCACAGAAACACCTCCATTTGTTGATGAATTTGACCCAGACCTCTCAGGGGAAAAAGACAGAGGCAGGACAGTCTCCTGAGCTGACTCATTCTCAGCCTGCTGCAATAGGGTTCCACGTGTGTTGAGTTTGCAATTTGAAGAGTGAATCAGTAGTGATCTCTATTCAAGTATCACAATTTATACCATATGGCCAGAGAGGGGTCTTCCCCTAAATGGCTCATGCATTTGTGTAGAACATACATGTAAAGGAATTAGTGGAGTATACTGCTTATTTTGTGTCTGCTTTAGAAAAATCAGTTTAGTGTTCTGGAACAACTTTCCTTTTGAGAACTATCACTTTGCTAATAGTGATAGTTCTGTAATGCTGACTCTGACTTTTCCTCCCAATAGCAGTGCAAACCTTGTAATGGTGCCCACTTTTGCCAAATGTACATATAAATGTAAAATAATAAAGCACAAACTGGAATTGTGTGCAAAACCAATTTTAAGCGTGGCTGGTCAAAAACTCACTGTCAAAATGTGCTAAAAGAGGTCCAAATGAATGAAAACAATGTTATGTGCTTTCTGGATGCTAAATCTGTATGTTCCCTAGCAGGCACACAATTTGCTATATTTGTGTGAAAGAGGGTTTCTGACCCACATTATAAGTAACATGTACCAGAGACTGCTGGTGTTAAGACACAGTTCTACAAGAGCTAGGAAATGAATTAGATTAATTTCCCGTTGCTTTTGCTAATCTAAAACCCTGAGCCTATGTCAGCTTCCACTCTTTGCAGACATTTATGCTTAGGATCTGTAACATGAAGTAGAAACTAGGGCTTCCGACAGCAAAAGTTCACTTGAACTTCTCTATACAGTCAGTTCTTCTATGTCAGGCTACAGCGGTAAATTCTCATTATCTGTTTTATGAATTTTCCATTCTGGATTTTTTTTTTTTTTACTGCCCAGGAGTATTACTGGAGATGTGTAAACATCTAAAGAACTAACCAAATTGGAGGCAGGACTCTTAGGGAAATAAAACAGAATGACACCCCAGGTAAAGCCAATTTTACACAATACGATCTCATTTGATTGCAGGAATGGTTTATTGTGCACAGGAACATGTCTGGTATTTGGAAAGCACCGCCCTGCCCCCCAATAGACACACGGCCGTGCGCCACCTACTGGATAAATAGAAGATTTCAGGCATAAGAGGACCGAGAAGAAACAAAATCGCCCATGGCGCTTGACTGTCAAGCTAGGTTTCAGAGTGGTTTCCTATTTATACTCGAGCATTTTCAGGAGTTACATGTTCGCAAACAATAAAATGGATCCCATGGCCACAACTAAATTATGCCTGGCCAGGCGTACATGGGCAGATGGTATTTATTATAGTGCAGGAAGTCAAGAATGCTCTTCTCCACCTTCTGTTTATAGATGGTTTCCTCGAAAACTCTTTTGAGGTATTTCCTGGGCTTCTCATTCAGGTTAATTTCCTCATCTTCTATCTGATGGGCCAATTGTTCTATAGAAGGGAGGCCTTCTTCCTGGAACACACAGACAGAAGCCAATAGCTTAGCTCTAAGAGAAAAAGACAGTTTCACTAAAATAAAGAGTGCTTGGCTTCCCAAGTGTGGTGACTTTTCCCCCCACCTTATAAAATTATTGTTTTTTAATGACATATATTTAGTCTCAGAAAAATGAGTGACATAAGTACTATATGGCTACTAGCATTCTCTCCCCCCATCATACTTACATGAGCCCTTTCCCTCCTCCCTCCTTCAGCCTCAGAAACCTCATTTCATTTTTTTTTTTTAGTGTCCATTAGTTTTTGTAAGTATTTTGGTTGGTTGTTTGTCTGCATTTCTTTTTAATGTCAAATATTTGTCTTTGTCCTTCTGACGTGCTTTATTACACATAATTCTCCTTCCATTTTGCTCTAAGTGGGAACGTTTCTTCTTTCCTTATTGCAAAATAGTATTCCATTATGTGGATATACCACTTCTTCTTAGCCAGTCCTCTCTCAGTGGCCACTTAGGTTGCTCATGTTATTGCTATGGGAAATAATGCAGCAATAAACAGTGTAGACTATATAATTAGTTGGTTGATAGTTTCATGTTCTTTGGGCAGATACCGAAAAGCAGAACTGCTAGGTTAGATGTTATTTCCATTTTAAGTCCAGATCACTTCCCCAAATCACTGCACTGGCACACATTAAGTTATGCAATATTAGCAGTGTATTAAGGTTCCTCTTTTTTTTTTCTTTCCTTTGGTTAATACTCATTTATTTATGAAGAACTAGGGTGTAGGCCAGAGGTGCAGGCGGTAAGAGGATTCACCAGAGACAGAGTGGAGAGCAGAACAGGCAGACTGACTGAAATATACTGTTAAGGGGAGCAGTGGGTGAGAGAGGAGAGGTCTGTTGTACACTATATGGTTAGCTCCCCAGCTAGGGATTGAACTCAGGCCTTGGTTGGGTGATAGCGCTGAGACTCAAGCCCCTAGGCCAGCAGGGAGGCCTAAGGTTCCTCTTTTCCTATATTTTCTCTAACATTTATTATTGGGGGTCTTTTTATAATATGCCTGTCTCACCTGAGTGAGATGATCTCATTGTGGTCACCACTTTATTAAAAGTGATGTTGAACAGTTTTTCATATAACTATTAGTCTAGCTAGCCTCTTTGGTGAAATATCTGTTCATATCTGCTGCCCTTTTATTATTTGTTGTTATTAAAATAATTTTTATATCTTTGATATTAATCTTGTGTCACTATGTAAAGTGTAAGTATTTCCCCCCACTAGGATTTTTTTTAATCTACTTATATTACTTATATTTCAGCTATTTACACAGCTTTACAAAAAGCTGTGTAAAAGCTTTTTAATTTTAGGTAATTCTAATTATTTATTTTTTACATTGTTTTTCTTGCTATCAGAATGAGTCTACAAAGACATCTTTATCATAGATGTCATGAAATACATGGGCCATGTTTTCTTCTGTATATTTTACTGTTGCAGGCCTTGTTTCTAAGTCTTTAATTCATTTTGAGTTTATTTTTGTATAATACAGAACTAGAGAGTGATCCAACTTCATTTTTTTTAACATGTTTTCATTTAATTTTCCAAGCACCAATTGTAAAGAGACTCTCCTTTCTCCATTGTATGACGGCGACTCCTTACCACAAATTATCAGTGTAGGCATGGATCTTTTTATTTTATTTATTTATTTTTTAAATTAATATAACAGTTTATTTTTACATAATTTTGTACATTTTTTTTTCATCTCAATTGTAATCCCCGTGGGTTTCCCATCACCGAGTCACCCGTGTGAGGCATGGATCTTTTTATGGGCTTTGAATCCTGTTGCATTGATTTACTTTTATTTTACTTCTTTTCCCAGTACCATATTGTTTATTCTTGCCTTATAGTATAAAGTCAGATAACATGAGGCCTCCAGTTCTCTCCTTTATGCTTCTGAGGATTGGACATTCTGATGGGCATTGTGTTAAATCTATCACTTTTGGTAGAATAGTCATTTTGACTATATTGATTACTTCCATCTCTTTATGTCCTATTCTATACTTCTCAGTTAGCGTCTTGTAGTTTTCATCATATAAATCCTTTACCTCCTTAGTTAAGTTAGTCCCTTGGTATTTTATTCTTTGTGATGCAGTTATGAATGGAATTATTTCCTTAATTCTTTTCTAAGCAATCACTATGGGTTTCTATAAGTAAGACAGATTTTTGTACATTGGTTTTATAACCGGCCGTTTTGTGGAGATTTTAGGGTTTTATACATAAAGTATTATATCACTTGCAAAGAATGATAAGTTTTACTTCTCTTCAATCTGAATTATTTTTATTTCTTCTTCTTGTCTGATTTCTCTAGCTCTGATCTCTAATACTAAATTGAACAGAAATGGTGACAGTGAACATTATTATCTTGTTCCTAACCTCATAAAGAAAGCTTTCAGGTTTTCACCATTTAAGTATTATATTAACTAGGGGTTTGTGATATGTGACCTTTATTGTGTTAAGGTAAGTTCCTTCTATTCCATCTTGTTAAGGGTCTTTATGATAAATGTGAAACAGATCTTGTCAAATGCTTTCTCTGTGTCTATTGATGTTACATTATTTTTACCCTTTCTTTTGTTGATATGTTATACATTGATTGATTTACTTATATCAAACCTGCCTTGCTCCAGGACCCTGTCATGCTTCCAAACTGAACCTCTGCAACCATTAAACACTAACTCACCCTCCCTCTCCCCCAACCTCTGGCATCCACCATTCTACTTTTGTCTGTCTCTATGACTTCGAATATTCCAGATTTCTCCTACCTGGAGAAAATCATAAAGTTTTTGTCTTTTTGTGACCAGTGTACTTCAGTTAGCATAATGTCCTCAAGGGTCACAAAGAATTGTGATGTAAGCTCTTTAATTTTCATTAAAAATATATGTAATCTGGCCCTCCCTGGTGGCGCAGCGGGTTAAAGCACAGCACTG